GAAGGGCTCTCCCTGAGTACCTCCATCAGGCCCGATGATGCAGCAGGACTGCTCAGAGCCTCGTACCCTCATGGTGTCACATGGGCAGCACAGTTCTGCCTCAGTTTCCCTGCACAGCTGCTGCCCCAGCACGGTCTCTGCATCCCCCCTGTCAGTCCCAGAACCCACTGATCTTCCGCATTCCCAGCCTGGGGAGATCCCTCCTGGCCCCAGCACTCACCCGCCGGCATCGTCCTTCTTGCGGCAGACGCAGCAGCAGCAGAGCAGGGAGAGCAGGAGGATGAGCAGCAGCGCCAGCAGGGCCCCGGCCCCGATCACCCCCATCCTCTGGTTGGCCTCTGCAAGGCAGACCCGCGGCTCAGCCCGGGCCCAGCCCCGTGCCAGAGCCCAGCCCCGGTGCCTGGCACTCACCCATGTGGCAGGCGCCCGTCAGGGGGTCGCAGGCACCGTCATGGCAGCCGCAGACCTCGGCACAGTTGGCTCCGTAGCGTCCAGGGGGGCACGTCAGGTTACAGCTGGAGTGAAGGGCTGGATGAGAGTAGTGCATCCCCCACCCCAGGAACGACAGTGCTCCTGCCTGGCTGCCACCTTCTCCCAAACCCTCCATGCTGCAGGGAGCACTCCTCCAGCTTGCTCTGACACAGCTCCTCCACACCCTGGGGGAACCCTTCATCCACAGGGATCAGGAGCCCGTCACCCACGCGGTGACTTTGTCCACCACTCAAAGGATTCGGCCCAGCTGGATCTCAGACACCATTACTTCATGTCACTTCACCATTAGACACAGTAATTAGGAAAGGCCATTAACCCAGCAGTCACATCTACAGACACCCTGATGTCACACGCAGGGATTCCAGCTCAGCTCAGTGGTGATGTGGCTGTGGCACCCCAAGCCCCACCCCCACCAAGCCAGGCCGAGCCACAGTGGCCACAAGCTGGGAAAGTGCCCAGACTGACTTTTTTGTTTTTGCCTCCAAGAAGGAAAAACAACAGAGCAGCCCTAAGACCTTTCCAGTTTGGTTATGCCTGGTGCCAAATCTCCGCTCCTGGTAAAATGGCTTCCTGATGGTGTCACAGAGATGATGGGGACACACATAAATGGGCACCAATCCACAAGTCTCAAGGGCTTGAGCATGGAAAACATGGTGTCAGTGGATCCATCCCAACCTGCTTCCCCAGCCATGGGCCAGGCATCGCAGAGCAGGACCCAGCTGGAGCTGGGAGATGTTGGCAGCGTTGCTGGGCACCAAACCCTCTGCCAGCTGCATCCCAGCTGGAAAGAGCCAGCTGCAGCTGGAAGGAGCCAGTGGGCCCCAGACCAAACCCACTCCCCTGGGGACACAGCTGTCCCCAGCCCTGGGTACTGTGCCCCGAGGCGGCTCAGCCCATTTCACACTCTAACAACTTGCAAAGTGCCACCTTGGCCAAGCCTTGTGCCTGCTGTGTGCCTGTCACACGCCCATCATGTGGCTGCCAGGATGGGTGCTGAGCTTCTGCATCTGCTGTGCTGCACCAGGGCAGCTAAAGAAGCAGAACAGGAGCAAGGATAATCCCCTACAACAGCCAAACCTCTCACTCCACCACTTGGCCCCACAGTTCTGCCCCAGACTGAGTTTTTGGGAGAAGAGGAGGGTGACAGAGGAGGTCAGGAGAGTCCTGACACTTCTGGAAAGCACTTTGTGCACCCATAAATATTTTGTCAGCTGCTCCTTTAGTTTCCTCCTGACACAGAGCTGAGAGGACATGCTTTATGGCAAAGATGTTGCTTGTGCTTTTACTGCAGAAATCCCCTTTTTAGCAAAACTGTACCCTGCTGACAAAAACATTGGTTTGGATATAGTCACAGGGATTTGCCTGAGCACCCAGAACATTTCCAAGCCTGCCTGACTGCACCACTGGCACAGCTCAGCTCAAGGTTACAGCACCAAGGCTGTATCCTGAGCATCCCACATCCCCACCTTCCCAGTGCTGTGCCAGGGTCTCAGAACAGGTTAATCCACACTCTGCCCTCTGGCACTGTGCCAAAAGCATCACCACACCCCCCCTGAGGAGCATTCAGACCCTCTCTCCTCTGCCTAGGTGAGAGGCAAAGGTGGCCATGATGCCCAGGCTGGGCATCCTAAACTGGTGCCAGTGTTCCAGCACCACAAGTGGTTGGCAAAGCCCCACAATTCCACCTCCCAAAATGCAAATGGTCCCTGTTTTTATGCCCTGAGTGAAATGCCAGCATGGGCAAGATGCCAGCTCTAAATCCCCGTCCTTGCTGTCACCCTCTGTTAATTGCTAGGAAAACCCAAGCACCACGCAGCAAGACCTGGGATGGCTGTCTGCCTGTCCCAGCTGGGTGGAAAATGCTTTCCTCATATTTTCAAACAACATTTCAGTGCCACGCTGGGAAAAGCTACCCAGGGATGTGAGCAGACCCTCGATGGCCCTTGTGCCCCTGGAGTGGGGGAAGGAGGAGGCCTGAGGAAGACCCTAGCCAGGAGCAGAGCTTTAA